AATGAGAGTAAATCACCATTTTTAGGCGGTGAAATTCAAGTTTTCAAATGTTCAGCTCTTAATTCTCGCTATGCTTCTGTTTCCCTTTTGTGGAACTGAGACAAGCAATTTTTAGTATTTTAATTTTCCTGCATATTCCTGCTGGAAGATGTACATCATAATGGCCGTGTAAAGTGCATCTCCAGTGTTCCTGTGCCGGCTCCCATTCCGGCACCGGTGATAGAGAGGACACCAGGCGGCTCGGAGATTCACAGACGCGCAGTCTGTCATCGCTTCTCTCCGACTGCTGTTACGAGATTCTGGAATTCCCTGAGATCTCCCAGCCCCAGAAGCCTCTGGTTAACTTGCCATTCCATGTAGATGTATTGCATAGGTTTCCTACTGTAATAGAAATAAAGGTTACTAAGATGACCGCTCGGCTTTTCAAGTTAGATATTGCCATACCTTTGACTCGTACCCCCAGTATTGACTGACTGACTCAGCGCTGTTAACTCAATCCTTACAGCTCATGTCACTGTTCCGCTCGCTGGGCTCTTATTCCGACTGCCAGAATGCGTTTAGTATAGTCGCTTTATTCGCGAGCCCTCCCTCCTTATACAGCGGAGAATTGCGCGATAAAAACTAAGTGTGACTCTCTAACGGAGCCCATATCCTTCCGAAAGACAAACTTGCTAAAGAGATCACTGAGAAACAACCCCGCTGTGACAGGGCGAGTATCGGCACACCAGAGAACCAGGCAGCTCCAGAGTTTGAGCGGTCGACAGCCCAAATATTTTAATGAATAAGATGCATGAGGAAAGCAAGCAAGAGGTACAGTAAGAAGGAAGCAGCGACGCCCTACCGTCCAGCCAGCACGCCAGGCAGGTGAGGTGCAGGAGCATGCCCCAGGTCCCCATGCTCGGAGCGAGTCGGCGTCCCGCGGGCTCTGAGCGCGGACACGTGCTGTGTCTGTCAGTCAGGGCATGCTGCCTCGCGCCGGCTCGCACCTCGAGCTCGCCTCCAGCCAGGAGCGCGCTCCCGGCGGGCCAGGAGGGCCGGGCGCGCCTCTGAGCCCAGGATCCCCGAAGCGCTGCACGGCGGCGCGGTGAGTTTCTTGATTAGCGCGCTGCGTGCTGTCTGAACGTGATCAGACAGCCCCCCGCTCAGCTCCCACCGCACCGAGGTGTGCACTGGACTCCAAAGCGCAGGAGTGTTTGTTCTGAATTATACAATTTCAGATGCATTATGTAATACAGAGTGCACTCTCAATGTTTATTATATAATGCACTTTAATGTAGTTACGATAGACTGAGAACTGTTTTGTAATTACTTTTTTGCTATCGTACTTCTTGCTCAGTCCTTGACGGGCGATGTAACCAGTGTCCTCTGGCAGGAGGGCGTGTGTGGTCTGTGCGCGCCCTCTTGTGGCCTGTTAGCGCGCTGCGCATCGTGTTTTATTATGTTGATGCGAAAGTGCACATTTCTAATAAGTCGTTATTTTCAAAGTTCTTGTCCTCATCTCAAATATTGTCTCATTGTCCTATCTCAAATATTTTCTACAGAAATGCTCTAGATTACAGCACCTGTCCGCCCTGGTAGACTGGCCCCGACCGCTGCCGGACGCTTAGCAAGGGCTTCATCAGTGCCGAGAGGGGAGACCTACAAGTTACACCGGGCTTCTGCTGTTAATGGGCGGGATTGGCAAGTAGGAGGCGCTGTTCTCTCCCGAAATAAAGGTCAAGATTTGTGGGGTGAAAAGGTGTAAATATTGTAAATGAGTGCAGTTATTAATGATTGCGAATTCTGTGCTGAACTGTGCGCCAGGATGAGGCGGGCTGTCGGTGCTGGACTGTGCTGTCGGTGCTGGACTGTCTCCAGGATGAGGCGGTCTGTCGGTGCTGGACTGTGCTGTCGGTGCTGGACTGTCTCCAGGATGAGGCGGGATGTCGGTGCTGGACTGTGCTGTCGGTGCTGGACTGTCTCCA